TCCATAGGGAAATAGGTATTGTCAAAAATGCTAACGTGGGAGAATAAGGGTGTGTTTGACCTCTGTCTCATAGGAAGTAGCTGTGTGCTGATTATTATCTTAAGGGTTATTATTAAAAGGCCCTTTTAGTTATAATAATGACAAAATATTTAGAGAAAAAGGGATAGTATTCATTACATTTACTTGGACTTGGTTTCTAGATTTAACCCTCCTCAAGTTCCAAGCTACCTTTTTATCTTTTCAGCACTTCATTTTATAACATTAAAGGTATTATGTATCTTTATTTGTCTATGAATCTGATAAAGTATATCATAAAAACCATGTGCTCTTCCAAAGACTACATTTTCATTAATTTGCACTTAAAGGAATTAAACAGCAAAGTTTGATTACATGTTTCTACCAAAGAGACCTTTGTGAACAATTAATTCACACTTATTTGCATCTGTTTTCTGAAGGCACACACTTACCTTGCCAGGAGGAAGCTTTAACTAGTACTTTAAAAAACATCTAGTATGAAGTCCTGGTGTGGTGCTGTAAGATAAGCACTGGACTGCAAAATTCGTTTGAACTACAAAGTCGGTGGTTCAAATCAAACCAACTGCTTCTCAGAAACCCTATACAGGGTAGCTATGAGTCAGAACTGACTTGACAGCACTTAACAACAACAGCTACTATCGGCACTATCCAGTAGACCAATTGGTAAGCTTAAGACTCATGCTTTTTCTTTTTACCAGACAGTTTTACTTACTTAACTGAAAGCAACTTTATATTTTTACATCAATGCTGTTGTTAGGCACCATTAAGTTGATTCCAACTCAGAGCAACCCTATGCACAGCACAATGAAACACTGCCTGGTCCTGAGCAAACACCACAATTGTTGTTAACTTTGAGGCCATTGTTGCTGACATTTTGTCAATCCAACTGTTGGGGGACTTTTTTCTCTTTCCCTCTACTTTACCAAGCATGATGTCCTTCTCCAGGTACTTTCTTGGTGGTGTGGCCTGCTTTCAATATATTAGGTATTCAGGCAAGGATTGCTTGATTGCTGCTGTGTCTGAATCTTGATTCTGGTTTGTCCTCTGTCCTCTAGTTCTTTGGACTTGAGCCAGTGAGAGTCATCAGCTGCCTCCCTTCTTACCTGCTAAACCTACCTGCCTGAAGGCTGTCTGACCTGCTGATTCTCGTTCATCAGCATTACAGGAATCAGAATCGTCCTGCTAGACATCCAACCAACAGACTTGAGACTTCTCCACCTCTACAACTGAATGGATCATGACTGTGTGTACAACATTGCTGAGAATGAGCATTCCATTAATTACATTGTGCTCATAAGGAACCTATACATAGACCAAGTGGCAGTCATTCAAACAATTCATGGAATTGTCAATAACCTCATATGCATTTGAAAGTTGGACAATTAATTAGAAAGACCATAGAAGAATTGATGCATATGAGTCATACTGTAGGAGAGGATTATTAAAAGTACCATGGACTTCTAGAAGACAAAACAAATCTGCATTGGGAAAAGTGCAGCCTAAATGCCACTTTGAGACTTTGTCTCTCATACTTTGGACATGTTATCAGGAGGGAACAGTCCATGGAGAAGGACATCATCTTAAGTAAAATGTTGTTGTTGTTGTTAAGTGCCGTTGAGTCTGTTCCGACCCATAGTGACTCTATATAGGGTTTCCAAGGAGCAGCTGGTGAGCTTGAACTATCATAGCATCAGCAAAAAAAGAGGAAGACCACCAATGAGGTGGTTTGGCACAGTGGCAGCAGCCATGAGCTCAAGCTTATCCACCATTTTCCATCACAACAAAATACCTGCTCATTCTACAAGGGTAGCTAGTTGTGTCTTTCAAGAATTTACATCGAGAAGCCTTACCCCATTCACCCTACAACTCTGCTCTTTCTCCTTCAGACTTCCCAAACCAAAGAACATTTCAAAGGAAAATGATTTATGTCATTCAAGGATTCCCAAACTGGTGTTTTGATATGGTGTAAATCAAAGAGTGTAGAACTCTTTAGGAAAAGGTTAGAAAGATGGAGACATAGCCTCTAGAAATGTTTAAATCTATATGGAGGTTATATCAAGAAACAATAGCTTCACATTTTTGTATTTTTGTTTAATAAAAGTTCCTATGATTTTGTACTTTTTATAATGATTATTTGTTGCTGTTGTTAGGTGCCATCAAGTCGGTTCTGACTTGCAGTGACCTTATGTATGTCAGAATGAAACACTGCCTGATCTTGCTCAATTGTTACGCTTGAGCCCATTGCTTCTGCCACCATGCCAATCCATCTCTTTGGGGGTTTTCATCTTTTTGGCTGACACTTCACTTTACCCAGGGACTGTTCCTTTCTGATAAAATGTAAGAAGTACAAAAGATGAAATCTGGTCATCTTGACTTCCGAGGAGCATTCTGATTGTATTTCTTCCAACACGAATATATTTGCTTTTCTGGCAGCCCATGTTACTTTTAATATTCTTCTCCAATGCCATTCCTCAATTATATATATACCTGGTATGGTGCTGTGTGACAAATCACTGGACCACAAGATCCATTTAAACCACAATGTCAGTGGTTCAAACTCACCAGTCAATCCTTAGGAACCCTAGACAGGGTTGCTATAAGTCTGAATGGACTCAAGGGCACTTAACAATAACAACCCTTCTACGTATAATATTCTGCATTTGAGGCATTAAACAGTAGTGACAAAAGACCAGATGAGTTATGTGATTACATTAAAGACATCATACATGAAGAAAGCAAAAGGGCTTAAAAGATAGGAAAGAAAGAAAAGAGCAAAAAATATGTCAAAAGAGACTCTGAGACAGAACTGGAAAAAAAAACTTGTTGCTCTTTTTCTCTTTTGCGGCCATTGCTGCAGTGACAACAGCCAAAATGAAGTTCAATCCCTTTGTGACTTCTGACCAGAGTAAGAACCATAAAAGACACTTCTTTGCACCGTCCCACATTTGCAGGAAGATTATGTCTTCCCCTCTTTCTAAGGAACTGAGGAAAAAATACAATGTTTGGTCCATGCCCATCCGAAAGGATGATGAAGTCCTGGTTGTACAAGGACACTTCAAGGGTCAGCAAATTGACAAAGTAGTCCAGGCATACAGGAAGGCATATGTCATCTACATTGAGCGAGTACAGAGAGACAAAGCTAACGCCACAACTGTCCATGTGAGCATTCACTCCAGCAAGGTGGTTATCACTAGGCTAAAACTGGACAAAGACAGCAAAAAGATCCTGGAATGTAAAGCCAAATCTCACCAAATAGGAAAGGAAAAGGCCTTTTCCTATAAGGAAGAAACGATTGAGAAGATGCAGGGGTAAAATAATCTGTGTACAACTTCCATTAAAAACTGCAAAAATGAAGAAAAAAAAGACACTCTGAAATTTGCTTTTGAACATAAAGGCCTACTAAAGAAAATGGAGCAAATTATGAAGAAAAAGAGCTGAGCATAAGATTTCAAAAAGCAGATCTATAAGACTTTATAGATCCTTACTCACACAAGTTTTACTCCATTCATGTCATCACAGTCAACCTCACTTTGAGGAGGCAACTCTTCCCGAGTCGCATTTTGAGTGCCTTCCGACCTGAAGGGCTCATTTTCCGGCATTATATCTAACAGTGTTTCTCTGTTATTCATAAGGTTTTCAATGGCTAAATATTTGGAAGTAGTTTGTCATTCTTTCTTCCTAGTCTGTCTTTGGAAGCTCATCTGAAACCTGTCTACCATAGGTGACCCTGCTGGTATTTAAAATACATGTGGCATAGTGTCCAGAATCACAGCGACTCACAAGCTACCACAGTACGACAAACTGACAGATGAGTGGTGGACTTTGTCTTATGGATCTGCTTTTTGAAATCATAGGGTCGCTGTGAGTCAGTACCGACTTGATGGCACCTAAAAATAACATCAAACAAAGTAAAGAATGACTATAAAATGTGCAATACCTGGAGCTCAAAAACCAAAAGGGAAGAACACTAGGAATTTCTCAAGCTGAAAACTGCAGAAAAAGCCAAGCCTTAAACTGCAATATTGAAATATACTGGGCAAATATTGAAGGATAAAGAAAACATCAAAAGAAGATGGAAATAATACACAGAGTTGGCACTGAACTATTTCAGCAGGTATCAACTGTTCAATAATCATTGGTACTAAAGGAATAATTCCAAACTACTCTAAAGACACTGTGGGGAGCGGAGGAGGGAAGGCTTCAGAAATTGACAGAATACCAATTGAGATTTCATCAACAAATGGATATAACACAGACAGCCCTCACTCTTCTATGTCAAGAAATTAGAAAATCAATTGGCCAAGTGATTGAAATATATACTCATCCCAAAGGTAGATGATATATAGAATGTAAGAAATATAATTTATTACTATTATTCAACAGTATCATTAATATAACATGAAAGTACAATTTTGATGAAAATAATTCAAAAATAGTTGCCGTAGTACATTGAGAGAGAAATGTCAGAAAAACAAGCTAATTCAGAAGCAGACTTGGAGTGACAGATACATCGGAAAATTTTTTTACCTATATATTTTTTAATATACAAAGAAATTTGATAACATACCTTTGTATAGATTAAGGCAATCACTTAAACACAACATGGGAATATGGTATGGCTTCAAATAAGAAAATATTTTCATCATGGTAGCATGTTTCTTAATAACTCTTCAGTCTGTGTATTGAGTAAATAGTATGAGCAAGTGGACTATCTAAAGAAGAATGTGGTATCAATATTAAAGGAAGACTTAATAGCAACTTTTAGTATGCAGATGACACAAGCTTGTTTGCTGAAAGCAGAAGTGTGCTTGAAGCACTTACTGATGAAGATCAAATGCTACCATCTTCACTATGGAATACACATTTCAAAAAAGAAAGTAAAAATTCTCACACATGCACCAATAAGCAACATCATGATAAATCAAGGAAACTTTGAAGTTGTAAAGGATTTCATTTAATTTGGATCTACAATCAAAACTTAAGAAAGCAACAGTGAAGAAATCAAATGAGAAAATCAAATGCATTGGACATACCTACTCCAACAAAACTCTTTAAAATGTTAAAGAGCAAAGATGTTTTATTGATGACTCTGGTATACCTGCTCCAAACCATGATATTTTCAACTGCATCATAGGCATGCAAAAGCTAGCCAATGAATAAGGACAGTTGAAGAAGAATTGATGCATTGGAATTATAGTTTCACGAAGATTATTATTAAATATACTATTAACTTGCAGAAGAACAACACAATAGGTTAAGTGATGCACTGTTAGTGGAGAAGTTGCACCATCCTCTGAATGGAAAAAGATAAGGCAGGATGTTTCTGTAAAAACGTACAGCTTGGAAACCCCAGGAAGCAGTTCTACTCTGTCCTTATACTCTGTAAGTGTCTCATTGTTGTTGTTATTGTCAGGTGCCATCAAGTCGGAACCGACTCATAGCGACCCTATGCACAGCAAAACGAAACAATGTCCGATCCTGGGCCAACCTCACCACTGCTGCCACACTTGAGTCCATCAATGATGCCACTTGGCCAATCCATCTTGTTAGAGGTCTTCCTCTTTTTCTCTGACCCTCCACCTTACCCAGCATGACATCCTTCTGCAACGATTGTTTCCTCCAGACAATATGTCCAAAAAGTGTCTCATAGTTGTAATCAATTTAATAGTTTCGGGGTGGTTAGTTTTCCCTTTTCTGATTGAAGAACAAACAAATCTGTCATAGAAGAAGTACAGACAGAATGTTCCTTAAAAGGATGATTAAGAGATTACATCTCAAGTTCTTTGGGCATCTTATCAGGAGAGACCAGTAGCTGGAGAAGTGCATTGTGCTTGGTAAAGTACTTGTTGTTATTGTTAAGTCACTTCTGACTCATAGAGACCCTATACAAGGTCTCACAGGATCCTGGTGTGGCAATGCAGGATAAGGCGCTAGGTCAGTTTGAAACACAAGGTTGGCAGTTCAAACTCACCAGTTGCTCTTAGGAAACCCTATACAAGGTCTTTATGGGTCAGAAGTAACTTGACAGCTCTTAACAACAACAAAGGTATCAAAGGAGCATCTGTAGTTAGCAGTCTAGTGCTTATCTTACAAGCCCACACCAGTACTACTTTGGTAAAGTAGAGGGTCAGCAAGTAGAAAAAATAAATAAATAAATAAAAGACCCTTAATGAGATGTATTGACACAGCGGCGGTAATAATGGGTTCAAACATAGCAACGATTGTAAGAGTTTTGCAGAACCAGGAAGCATTTTGTTTTATTGTACATATTATCATTGTGAATAAACAACTTGATTTATTGAACAACATCAAATACTAGTGTGTGTATATGTACGTATATACATACATATATATATATATATATATATATAGAGAGAGAGAGAGAGAGAGAGAGAGAGAGAGAGAGAGACATACATGTTGTATTTTTAAAAGGAGCTCTGGTAGCATAGTTGTTACAAATTGGACTGCTAACCTCAGGGTTAGCAGTTCGAAAATACCAGCTGTTCTATGGGAGAAAGATGAGGCTTTCTGCTCCTGTAAAGATTTACAGCCTCTGAAACCCTGTACAGAGTTGCTATAAGCTGGAACCAACTCCATGGCGCATAACCACCACATGTTGTTTTTAAGTGCCATTGATCAGTACCAACTTATAGCGACCCTTTATAGGGTTCCCAAGCAGCAAGTGGTGAGTTTGAAACACTAACATTGCAGTTACCAGTCCTGTGCTTATTCTACAGTTCCACATCACGACTCCATGTATATGCATTCTTGTCCTTAGAAATCAAAATACGTAAGATTCAAATGTAAAGGGAATCACTCCACTGACCTTGAGAAAGCTGTCACACACAAATGAGATTTCTTCTATTCAACAAGAAAGATAATAACAGAAAAATGACAGGTGCCAAGTATCCTCAAATAACAAAATTCATTTAAAATTTTTGAAACTTTTTCTCCCTTCAGAGTTTGCCAAGATATGTTTCTTCATTTCATATTTGGCAGGTGGACATTCTTCAGCAGTATGCTGGATGGTAGAAAACATTCCCTACACAATTATTTATATTCAAAAAGATCTGGCAAGAGTGAAGATCTTCTTTCACAGATTAATGATTTAAAGTAATATTTCTGAGGATTAGGTTAAACTTGTAAGGAATACACACATACAAATCCAAATTGATCAGTACCAATCATTTGTAAAAAACAGACAAACGCAAAAGTGAACATAATGATCATAAGAGGAGCAAGTTTCAGTCAGATTATTTTTTTTGAAATGTAATATGTTGCACCTTTTATCTCAAAATTGATGCATATCTGAAAGGATGATTTCATTCAATAAATTTCTGATAAGCCATTTATATATAAATGAGGCCACCGAACCGGGAAATAAACAAAACACTTTAGTTGTTTGTAATTAACACTGGGAATAGCAATATGGTTTTCGATCAAATATGAGTATAAAAATAGTGAAAATACACTGCTTATAATATGCATACTTTATCAGGAAGAGCTGCTTTCGTTTTTTAAGTTTATTTGTATTTTCACACTTATTGTGACATTGGAAAGTATAACAAAGTTTACAGTATCTTATCATATAGCTAATGAAGTTAAGATAGCAAAAATTTTAAAGCACAGTAGACTAGACAGAAAATCTAACTCCTTGACAAATGCTGCTTGTTCATGTGACTTCAAAGAATTTCTAATTATCTTTCAAAGTGTAGAAATAGTTGCATTGAAAGACTAACCTTGAGATATGCTTCTAATGGTTAAGGCAATTATTGTTAAAAAATACAAGTCAGAAATTGGTCCAAAAGTGGCAATGACCTTGGAATTCTGGGAAATTAATATACCTTCAAAAAAAAAAAAAAGCAAAAATATTAATATTAATTAAAAACAAACAAAAGGAAAAGGAAAAATCTGCTTTCACCACCAAAAATGCATTTGCAGTCTAGTTTATATATTTTCATCAAAAGCATACATTTCTTAGAGTCTTAAAACTCAGTTTTACTGTGAAGCATTTTTGTCAAAATTGAGACACTTGCATAAGGATAGTCATTGCAGTGCCCTCTGTTTCACATGGCTCTTTGACCCAAAGGCCTTGTAATTCCTATCAGACAACTTTTTCCTCATGGGTCTGGTAAAGAAAAGATGGTTGATTGTTTCATTTGTGATTGTTAAAACTTGGAAATCTGACCTGCCTTTAAAAATGAGCCATCTCAGAAGCAGGAGTGGGAATCTCACTAAAATTAACAAGACTGAGTCAAAGTGAGCACATCATTTGAAACCTTAACTAACACCTGAGGAGGTGTGGCAGAGGA